GTATGAAACTGTAAAAGACCAGATTTTTACGATTTCTTCTGGCAACAGACAAAGAAGTTAGCTCTTTATTAGTTTCTAGAGAAGAAATAATACATTTTGTACATAAATTTAGGATACGTAAATTCAGTTTTTGACATGCAAAGAAACGAAATTTTCATCGCTCACCAGGTTCTTTTTATGATTTTATTATATAATTTTTAAATTTGAAAACGAATATGAGCTGAAGCAAAATTATTCTTGTTTTAGTATGCGCTAAAATATGGCAAAATAAATGATGAAAATTACAAAGGATTGTAGAATTACAATGCATTAAAGAGAAAAAGTAAATCACGAAAATGTATAATAAACAGGTAAGTACTGACGGCACCGAAACGTTTTACAGAACAGCCCTCTTCCCATGAAGAAATGTCTGATTATATGTGTTGTCTAACTTAACACCCAAGTTTATATTTTCCGTGTAAAGGCTAATTTAGACTGCAACTTTTTCAGAATCAATTTATAAACCACTTATTGCAGATTATTGCTTATCCTAGAAAATATTCCTCTTGAGACATTTAATGCAGATAAAATGAATTAAAATTAAATTAAGAAATTCACGTAAATAGTAGATGCTCTTTGATGATAATTTGAATACATATTTAATATAATTTAAAAAAATTAAGTTACTAAATTTATGCTTATTGTCAGAGCAACTAATGCTAAAAAACATATTTCATTAAAAGTACTTCAATATCTGGACACTTTTACTTATTTTGTATGAAACGTTTCAAAACTTTTCATATTAAATATTTAACAATTTTTACTGCAAAACGGTTACGCCCCACTTACGCGGTTTATTTTTGATGTATTGCTTTAGTCCCGTTCTACCCTTGAATTCGATTTTGAATTCATACTGACACGTTCTTTATCTTATTTCATGTTCACGCTGACATATTCTTCTTTTTAAGTTCGTACGAGGTGCATCTAAATCAATGGCCTAATTTTATATAGTCCACCATAACCAGGCTTGCCACAGGGTAAATTTTTGTTGTTGTCGTCGACATGAAGATTTTGTCTCCAAGTTCGAAACTGATTCCGAGACATACTGTCTGCAGTCAAGAGGAATCTTGTTGAGTCACTCCAATAATAGCTGTATGCAGACATAAACACAAAGCCAATCATGAAATGAACTCCTACAAATACTCTCCGTTTCACCTTTATTTCTGTTTATTGAATCTACTTTTTTTGCAGATGAATTTTTTTTAGTTTGATTGACCAAATTATCAAATATACTGTTCATCACACAAAAAAAGTTTAAATATTCATATGGTAAATAATTCAAGCTCTATAGCTGAAAATTCTCTTTGAAATGTAGAATTAATTTTTTCATTTTTAATTCAAACAGTTTCTTTTTTGAATTACACATTTTCTTTTTTTTTTCCCTTACCTTTTGTCTCACTAGCTGGCTCAAGATTTGTTTATCATTATTTAATTTCATAATTTCTAGTTATCATCTTCCAAATAATTTTTATAGTCAACATCTATCGCATTTTCTGGTTCTTCTTTTAATCCGATCTCAATTAATTTATTCCCAACATTGAAACACATCAGTTAACTGACTATGAACTAGATTTCGGATTTCACCATCCTTAGATAAATCATCAGCAGCATTTTCACTAATTACCTAATCGGAATCTTTGAATTCAACATCTGAAGAATTTGTATTCATCAACAAATAAACTACTTGAAAAATTGATAAAGAATTTTGACTTACACTTTAACATTTTGAAAAAAAAAAATCACATAAAACCATGAACCCAATATTTACTCATAAATGTATCTTAAACGTAACTGCGGCAGAACACTGGAAACAATAGTAAAAATCAAAAATAAGCGACAGAACCAAGAAATGTTGAGTTGTACTGATACCATTTAGAATCATAACTTTTCAATCAATAAAAATACCAAAATTTTGAAAGAAAGATTAATTAAAAAATTTTAAATCACTTAAATAAACATCAGAAAATAAAATAAAAAAATGTATTTGATTTCGTTAATTCACTTCATTTGCTCCAAAAATGAAACTTATTTCGTCATCCTTATCCAGAAAAAGAAAAATTTAAACAAGCATAATTTTATTCATTGACAGGGATAATGCAACCATCCACTGGTAGAAAATGAAAATATACTGCGGTGGGAATATGTGTATAGATTTATAAGTCTTCATTTGCAATAAATGAGAATTTTAGTTTGGGTGGGAAAAAAAAAATCGTAAATGTTTTGATTCCAATTGGCATCACTGGAACTGTTAACATCACTGTCACTGTGTTAAGTGATTCTTTCGTGAAAAGGGAGATTATTTCTCCTGGTACACTGATTTTCAGAACCTTCTTTATTAATCATGTCTTCATTTCATCCACGAGTTTATGCTTTCAAGCATGACATAAATGATATTGGAAAAATAACATATCATAGATATTATGAAAATTCGTATAAATATAAACACTTCTTAAAATCTTTTGTATAATAGTTCAAAATGCACCTCTTCCCACATCCAACTTTTATCAAAATTATTCCATATCGAAAAATGAAGAAGCGTTTAATATCAAATTTTATAGGACTAACTTATGCGCTTCGAAGGGACTAAAGCTCACAGACGGTACTCCCCGTTTTCGAAATTTTTCAGCTGTAGCAGTAAATGATTATCACTCATAAAGAATATGTAAAAAAATAATCAAATTTTATTTACCTAAACATATACAGAAATTATACTGAAAATTTCATTTTGCTCAAAAAATTGTACAGGTGTTACCATCAAATAGGTGTTAATACAACCTACTAAAAGTTCTTAAGGTTAGTATTCAGTATATTTTTTTATAGCTACAAAAAAAGTGGAAAAACGCAATTACACGTTACAAGGACACAATATAAAACACTGCTTAAATATATAATTGCACTGCACGTCTCGCAAGTTGAACACCATCTCATTTGTTACTGATTTGTACGATAAGCTGACCATGTGGCCATGTTTCGATTGACCATGTGACCATATCTATGCTTAGTTACAGTACTATCTGCGATCAAACTAACACATACTAAAACATATCAAGCTTCATACGCAGTTTAACTGTTTTCAAATTCGACGAAGAAAATAGCTATCTTCTTTAACCATGAAAGCAATTTTTCAATCTTAGAAGCTCTTTAACTGATACGAGATGCACAAAAGATCCGACGCTTTAAAACACCTACCAGGCATTTCAGAAAAATAGTTTTAAATTGGAAGATGTAAGTACATGATAGGAATGAAACTGGAACAAATGGCTTTTTTGCTCGAAAAATACACTTGAAATAAGCTATAGTCAAATCAAAATGAAGCACATAATTTCATTCGCTTGAATACAAAAATTTTATTAACTGATATTTTTTGGTCGATGACAAAAGTTTAAATAGTCTATGTCTACCTAATAAATTCTGAGAACAAAATGGCTTCATAAAATGAAGTCACAATACATTTCAGTGTCAGATACTTTGAACATATAGCTAACTCTGAAGTTATAAATGCTCACACATAACGACACTGATAATATTTCAAATTAATTCAAATTTCAAATTAAATTGTAAATGTTTTCGGAAGGGTTTGCAATTCAAACATCCGCACAGACTAACTCGAGACTAACTATCTCGCGCTCGCACTCTAGACGAGGCAGTAATTGACTGCGGACCAGCAGGGTTTATATAGCTTTTGGCTTGTGTTCGAGAATATTCTAGGCTAAACTGGTAAGAATTCATTCCAGAAGGTTCTCCATCCGTCCATGGCATACGGCCAATTTTGTCGCCAAATGGGCGATTTCTCGCCAAATGTGGCAACCCTGCCCTCTTTGCTATTTTATGGCAACCCTAAAACTGCTTTGCGGGGAAGCCATCTTAGCGCACCTGGACATTTCGTAACAATATGCTAGGGTAAAAGTTTTAATGACTTTTATATTAAGAGAGTCCCTTAATTACAAAATTACAGAAACAATAAAAAATTTATTTTCAGTTGAAAAAATTAGAAAATAGCTTATTATCTGTATTCGTAACTCACAAACTGCTAGCTCAAGGTAACTTTAAACAGTGCGGTAAATGCGCCAAGCGATTCAGCTACTTCTTAGACCTAGCTCAAAAGTTGCAAAATCAATAACAATAGAAAAATGGAAATATAATCAAAAGCAAACAGACGAAAAATTATGCTTTTCTTGTTCGTCAGATTTCTCGCAACATAAGAATATAGTAATCTCCTTAAAGACGGAAAAATATTTTAGCAAAATAGTTAATTCTAACAACTGAGTTAGTTAAAAACATGCATCGCTCTATAAGGTTAAAATAGCAAATCATTTGCATCGAGGTGAAACAATATTCTGTTTGTAAAGAAATCAATCGGAAATTATGATTCGAAAGAAATATAGCTTCATAAATTAATTAAATTTCTTTATATAATAACAAAAACTCTCAATTATTCGCGGCAGGTTATTCTGTAAGCTAAATACTAGGACTAGACGCCATTGTTTTTCTAATTTCATTGGCTGTCGACAAATATGTCTCCAGCAACAATATACTCTTGTCATGCCCTATGAACATGAATCCGGTGCAGGTGCCACAGACATGTATCAGAGATATATGTTTCTCTGCACAGATGGGCTGGCGCAGGCGCCACCGACTTGTAGAGATACTTGCTCGGAAATATGTCTCCTCATGTAAACGGGACTTAACGAAGATTTTCACTGAGTGCAAACTAAACGCCATAAAAGGGAATATTGATTCAGATTAATTAGCAACTTAGATTAGTTTTTATACTTACCTAATTTGATCACAAAGAATAAATACATAGGGATTAAAATATTCAGAATTAATAAGTCTTATTTTTCCTGTGTGATCTTTCATTTAAAGCTATAAAGATTTCATATATGAAAAAAATAAATATCAAATGAATGAATCCATACATATTTACTTTAGATTAAGAGAAATGGGAAAAAAATGCTTACCGAATTTTGAAAACTACGACAGCTTTCCTTTGCAGTATGGCATGGAAGCTGAATCAATCACACAGAATTCTTTCAGCTGAGAATGTAGCAATAGGTACCTCAGAAATATTCTGCAAAAGTTTAACAGATTTTTAAATATAAAAAATTTAGTTGCGTTAAATTGACTGCAATTCAAAATTTTATGAAAAAGAATGAAAATAATTATGGGCCATGTTAAGTCCCTCTGAAGCCAGATGGCGCTGCCATCGTTACTGTTTACAAAAAGAATGTTAATTACTTGGGAGTTGGCTTCAATGGCGAAGCAGAGAGTGATTGTGGGAGCCTGAGCGTCTTTAAAAAATTAGTATAATAAAGATAAAGATATGTTACAAAGTAGTTTGTAAATTAGTTTAATTGAGAGTTACAGTCCATTTAGAAATAAATCGCTGGACCATTTGAGTGGTCCAGTAGAGCCGGAGAGATATCAGCTAAATAAATAATCTAGTGTAAAACAGTGAGTTTGCCATTTTCTTTCAGTGGAATTTGTGTTTGTGGATTATAGCCAGTTGCTGAAAGAAAGGGGTAAGTAAAAACCCTTTAAACTCTATTCATTATTAACTGTTGCATTTAGTAAATTCTGAATTAAGTTTGTGTGATAATTTGTTATTGATAAGTGTAGCGAAAATGGCTACGAAACTGAAAGATGTTCTCACTAAAAAGAGAACACAAAAAACTATCTTATCGAAGTTGCAAAAGAAACTTTGTGAGCCAGATTTAAGTGTTAGTGATTTAGAATTGTTAAAAACTAAATTTAACAATCTGCAAAATGAATTCGATAATATTTTTGATTCTATTATCAATTTAAGTAGTAAAGAAAATATCGAAAAAATCTTCAGTGAGCAAGATGAAATCAATAGTAGTATTATTGATATAGAAATTTGAAATAAATAATAGATTGTCGAACGTTGTTAAACAGAAAAAAAGTAGAAAATGCAGTAATTTCTGAAAATACTGTTGTGCGTTTACCTAAGATTTCGTTGCCGACATTTTCAGGAGAAATGCATTCTTGGCTTTCCTTTAAGGATATTTTTAAAGCGAGTATTGATCAAAACCCAAATTTATCAGATGCTGTAAAATTGCAATATTTGAAATCAGCATTGAAAGGAAATGCTTTTAGAATTATCGAAACGATAGCTATAACAGATAATAATTATAAGTTAGCGTGGTCTCTCCTTGAAGAAAGATACTCAAACCCTAGAGAACAAAGTGTATGCTCATCTTAAAAGATTTATGAGTATTCCCGTTATTCAAAACGAGTCAGCTTCTGCGATTCTAAATTTAATTGATGTTACAAGTGAAGTTGTAAGATCGTTAGAATATTTAGAACAAAAGTTAGATGGGGTTTCATCCGCTATATTTGCCTTTATTCTTAGCCAGAAACTTGATCAGAATACTAAGTTATGGTGAGAAAGGAATTTAAAGAAAGAAAAAATACCGAACATTACAGAGTTATTAGAATTTCTAAAGGATCACGCGAGGACATTAAACGCTTCTAGAATTCCAGTAATGTCTAAATCAAAAGCTTCAGTAAGTCAATCAAAGGTTTCTTCAATGGTTTCATGTGTGACTGAAAAACGTGCTTTAATTTGTAAACTGTGTAATGTGGAACATAAATTATTTAAATGCCCTAAATTTCAAAAATTCAGCTTAAAGGATAGAGTCGAGTATGTTAAAAAGCACAACTTATGTTTCTGCTGTTTTTGGAAATCATGGAGTGAGAAATTGCCGTTCAAATTACTCTTGTAGGCTATGCAAAAAAACACAATTCGTTACTGGTTTTATGAGCGAGAAAAAATTTTTCGATTTCCCAAAATAGAGAGAGTTGCGAAATCGCCTCTCTGTCGGATCAAAAGTCAGATGCCAGTTCGTCTACGGAAGTAGCGAAACTGAACGCTCACGCAAAGCCATTTATAAATAAGGATAGCGAGTGTTTTATGACAGCTAATGTAAATAAAAATTTTAATGCCGTTAATAGAGTCCTACTATCGACAGCGATTGTTTATATTAAGGGAAATGAAGGAGAAATATTTCCAGCCAGGACATTGCTTGACAGTGGAAGTATGATTCATCTTTGTTCATCGGAATTAGCTGAGAAGCTTCATTTGCAAAGAGAAAATGTAAACGTATCAGTAGGATGTTTATCTGGGATTTCAACAACGGTGAAATCAAAAATAAGTGCGGTTATTTTAAATAGAGGAAAACACATACAGTCGTAAACTAGATTTTTTCGTAATTCCGAAAATTACTCATTTAATGATGCCTTCTAGACAAATTGATGTCTGTAATATTGAGATTCCACAAGGTTTGTAATATTACGTTACACGTTAGCTGATCCAGACTTTCACAAACCGGGTAAAATTCAGTTACTTCTAGGATCTGAAATATTTTTCGATTTGATAAGATCCGGGCAAATTTATGTACCAAATACAAATTTAGTGTTACAAAACTCAGCATTTGGGTATTTGGTAAGCGGGAGCATTGAAGATTTACCACATGAGAAACAATTAATGCATTGTGGGTTAATTTATGACAATGTCGAAGCACAGTTGAAGAAGTTCTTTTGATTTGGAATCAATTGGTATCAGAGATGATTCCCAATTCTTACGATGAAGAAAAAGCATTAGAGATATTCAACAAAACTGTTAGTTTCAAGATGGGTCGTTATATTGTTAGTCTGCCTTGGAAGAAACGTTGGGAACATTTAGGCGACAATTTTGGTGTCGCAGAAAAAAAAGAATAAAAATCCTGATGAGAAAAATGCAGCATGATAATACATTATACCTGAAATAGAGAAACTTTAGAAGAGTACCTAAATCAAGGGATAATAGAAAGAGTATTAGATTCTACGAAACCAGTAAACAAGCCAGTTTTTTACATGCCGCATCAGGCAGTTTATAGAGAAGAAAGCATTACAACAAAAATGCGTATTGTATTTGATGCGAGCTCACATGAAATAGGTAGTCTGTCCCTGAATGATTGTTTGTGGCCAGGTATTAATCTGAATCAAAATATTTTCACTTGCTGATATATTTTTAGACTTAATAGAGTTGCAATCTTAGGAGATATCGAAAAGGCATTTTTACAGACCGTTTTAGCTGAGAATGATCGAGATGCAATTAGATTTTTATTTGTTAAGAATATTGATACACAACCTTTGCAGAATACCGACGATCAGCTAGAGGTGTATAGATTTAAGCGTGTGCTCTTTGGTGTTAATTCCAGTCCCTTTTTGTTAGCGGCAACTATAAAGCTGCATATCCAAAAGTATAGGAATGTGTATCCCGATACCTTTCAAATTCTTGATACATGTATGTATGTTGATGATCTTGTTACAGGAGCAGATGATGTATCAGAAGCCTTAAAAATTTCAAGGGAAGCAAAGGAAATTATGAGTGGAGCTGGGATGAATCTACGCAAATGGGTGACGAATGATTATCATTTAGTTAAGAAATGGGAAGCAGAACATTGTAACATTCATCCGCTAAGCTCAAATGAAAAAATGCTCAAAGTATTAGGAATTCAATGGAACATTCAGAAAGATAGTTTGAGTATAGAGACCTTGTTTGACGAAATTTCGAGGAGAAAAGAAAAGTACCAAACGCTTCATCCTCCAAACAGCTGGAAAAATATATGATCCTCTTGGACTCATCACACCATTCACTGTTAGAATAAAGCTTTTACTACAAAAGCTATGGTTACGTAAATTACCATGGGATGAAGAGAGCTTCCTTCTGATTTGAACGACGAGTGGTCTGAGTGGTGTAGCGAGCTTTCAGAACTTAGTAACATTAGTGTTCCAAGATTTGCTTTGGATTCATGTGATGAAAATATAGAGATCCATGTTTTTTCTGACGCAAGTCAAAAGTTGTATGGTGCAGCCGTTTACGTAAAGGTACAGAATCAAGAAAAAAATTTCTGTGAATTTGCTGGCTTCCAAGAGCAGAGTTTCACTTGTCAAAAAAGTTTCCTTCCCTCGACTTGAATTGCTGGGTGCAGTGATTGCTGCAAGATTGGGAACGGAAGTTAAAAAAGTTTTAGATCGTAAAGGTTCATCTAATATCTTTTTTTGGAGTGATTCTAAAGTTACACTGTATTGGATCAAAGGATCAAGCAGAAGATGGAAGTCTTTCGTTGAAAATCGCGTCGACGAAATTCAGAAGTTGACTAATCCAGATTCATGGTTTTATTGTTCAACCAAAGACAATCCAGCCGATCTTCTAACGCGTGGAGTTAGTGCCTCTTCTCTAGTGAACAATTCTAAGTGGTGGACTTGTGCAGAAATTTTTACAGAGCCGCATCTTCCCTACAAGTGCTTACAACCAATAGTTCCAGAGGTTGAGAACCTAACACCAAATGAAAGGGAGTCCTTTGTGCAAGAAAGCAAAAGTTCTAGTGACATTAATGACATTTCTGAGAGAACTATGTTGATCGACATGAACTCTAACGTTTTAGACGAACTCTTGAATATTTGTAACAATTATTATAGAATAATTAATGTTCTTTCTTATATTTTTAGGTTTATTTGTAATTGCAGGAAAGGTGAATCAAGAAAGGTAGGCCCTCTTCAACTAGAGGAGGTAAGAATAGCTGAGGAAATGCTTATTAAGCATGAGCAGAAGGTTCTATTTTGTAAAAAAGACATAACAGGTAACTTAAAAAATTTACATCCCTTTGTGGATCGTAAAGGAATAATTCGCGTTGGTGGCCGTCTTGAAAAAGCTTCTTTATTACCATTTTCTCAGAAATATCCTGCAATCCTACCAAAAATTCTAAGCTAAGTAAGATTTATTTTTCTAGTGTGCACAGAAGATTATTGCATGCTGGCCCCCAAGGATTATTGAATGCAGTACGTTTAAAATTTTGGCCATTAGGTGGTAGAGATTTGGCGCGAAAAACAGTACATCTTTGTGTGACGTGCTTTAAATGCAAACCGATTTTGTCTTCACAGATTATGGGCAATTTGCCATACGAGAGAGTTAATAGATCACCCCCATTTAGTGTTTCAGGTTTGGATCTATGCAGTCCCTTTTATGTGACTTACAAGCATCAGAGAAAGGGCGTGCTAAATAAA